CCAGGTCTACGCAGTCATCTCTCTTTTCTCCTTTCCCTTTTTCTTAAACTTGCTGTGTGCTGCTGAACAAGGGAATCTGCAAAAATCATTTGCCAGAGGGGCCCAAGAACCCCACTCACTGAACCCCAATTCTAACAGAGTGGGCATGTGGGGATGCGGGGGGTTCAGCTCCACCATCCCCTATTCAGAGTATTTTTAATGTCTGCCTCTCACTTCCCAAATCTACAGCCACACCCCCATGGTGTGCTCTCTTAGAACACAGACATGAATTCTGAGTGGGTGGCATTGACCCACATTGGCATGTTATAGGGAAAGGAAAATGTCTCAAGGTGAGCAGAAATAAAATGAGCTAGGTGGGTAGATTTAGAGAAAAGCACGTAAGTCAACAAGACCCCATAAAAGAGACAAAGAGACAAAACAGGGAGCGCCAGCTGGCAGAGGTACAGCTGGTTAGTGTAGCTTCATCCCAGGAGTGAGAGAGTCAAGAAGAGTGGGAGTTTGAGCAAGGAGGGTTAAGATTTCCAAAAAGTGATATGTTCCCATTGGTTGCCCTGGTGATAAATCCACCTCCCATGTTACCCTGATCTAATGAAAAGAAAAAATGTGCACCTACAAGGCAGAAAGCAAATAGGGGTGGGGGCAGCACAACAAAATGAATAGTTCCTTGGTATCCTGTCTTAACAGTCTATAACAAAATTTTCAGAAGTGTCTTAAAAAATGTCTGTTTACTGATGTTTTGTTCCAGTCAGTATACAGAGAAGGTCATTATGTTTGGTCGTTGTGTTTCTAGAAGTCTTTTTACTCCCCATCACCAGTCCCTTCTACCGTTTGACCCTTCATTCCTGCACCCCCCCTCCAATTTAGCCTCAAACTCCACTTCATTTATGAATGTTCACTAGTTTGTAATTAGTTTGTTTTGTCAACTTATCTGCAGATGCCTTGTTTGTCCAATATTTGTCTTTATTTTTCTAATTTTGCTTTAGTACACAATTTAATTTCATTGAGCTCCTTTCATTTTACTATAAATGGTGACATTTTGCCTTTATCCAGTCCTTTCAGTGGGCACTTAGGTTGCTTCCCAGTCCCAGCTATTATAAATAATGCTACCTACAACTATTTTCATAATAACACTAGAGTCTGCCTTTTATACTTTTGTTCTCTCCTGATTGCATAGAGTATAAAAGGTTTATTGACATGGCTTTTGAGTCCATGTTGAAATTAACCTTTAAGAAACTACCATTTGTCAAGTTTTGGTGACATATCAAAGAAGAAAATCTACAATTACATGAAATGACTACTAAAGAAAAATGCCTTTCTTTTTTTCTAACTACATATCTGTGAGAGGACATTTTTTTTCATGTAGTCCAACCAAAATAACATTTCATGACAGACTGAATGAATAAGAGAATCCAGCTGTCCTTGATTAAGCCAGACATTAAACAGATTTGCAAAAATGTTAAGACAGTGTTGTTCTCACTTATTTTTTTAATTTAAAAAGTATTTTTGTACAAATATCTAATTTATATTATAGGTTATGTTACAGGTTTGTGAATGTTCCATTTTAAGTCAACAATATTATTAGTAATGGCTATTTTTTTTAAAGTCTGTTTCCATTTCTGTGAAAATCAAAAGGCCCAACCCACATAAACAAAAGCTCTTTGGGATCCTCAATAAATTTTAAGTGCAGAAAGACTTTGAGACCAAAAAAATTTGAGAACTGCTACCTTAATCTGAGCCTGCAACAAGCAGAATCAAGCTCTAACTCAGTTCTGCTTCTGCTGTTACCCTAAATTAATGATCTTTTTATCTCTATCTCCCCCACTACTTTCTGATGGAGGCTGTTCATCTTACAGCCGATGTCTAGCATCGAGGAGAAATCCCAGATAAAGGAAGGAGGAAGAGATAAGCCCCCATAGGCACATATCACAGGCTGAGCCATCCATGGGAAGGGTGGATAAGTACACACTTTTTTTTTAATTGGCTCAAGTTGACACTGGGACTGTGGCTTGAATTTAGACATAAAATATACACATTTTCTTAATCAGAAAATTCAAATGAAAAATTAACCTAAGGAACAATTCTGTTTCTACTCTGTTAAACATTCAGAGACACCCTTGCAATAAAATACATCATACGTAATGGTTGACACCATGTATACAGCCAAGATGATTTGCCCCAGAAAAATAAAAATGTGACTTGGGCAATGTTCTGAACATAGATAACAAAAAGCCAAGAAAAGCAAACACCCATAAAACACAAGACCCCATTCTCTAAGAGCGAAGAGAAGGTCCTGTGATCAGCAAGCCTTCTTTTTTTCCGTTGAGAATAAGGCCAATGGCAGACTGCGTGTGAGCACCCAGGCCAAAGTGGTGGAGTTTGCCTTCTGGCATCACAATTCTCACTCAACCGTGTTCACAAGTCCAGCAGCCTCCCAGCCTCTCTGGGAGTGGCTGCTCGCCACCCCTGGTGTGGGAGACTGCCATGTTCCATCCTCTCTTGGTCCTGATGCATTCTTGGGCAAGGTAAGAAAGGGGAAGTCGGGGGTCCCTGGTGGCACAAGGGGTTAAGCACCACACTATGAAGCAATCCGAAGCCTCTGCAGCACAGGAGAGGTATGCTGAACCATGTGGGTTGCCCACCAGGAGCAACCCACATGGCGCAGCAGACCTCTCCTGTCTCGCCTGCTGCTCCCCTCAGCAGTGTATTTCAGTCAGTCTGCCTGTTCTGTTCCCCAGTCTGTCTCTGGTGAGTCCTCTCACCACCACCCCCATCCCCGCATCTCTGCATCTCTGGCCTGTGCCCCAGCTCTTGTATACATAAATAAATAAATCTTTTAAAAACAAAAAAAGAAAGAAAGAAAGGGGAAGCCATACTGGTGAGGCATATGCCTTGGGTAAAATGGGGTTCTATTGCTGAGGAGACAGGGGTTTTTTTACTTCATAACCTGAGCTTAGAGTGAAGGAGGAGGGCAGTGAGTGCTGGTAACAAGGGAAGGCTCACTATGTGGGTGGGGGGTGAGAAAGAGAGAAAGAGAAAGAGAGTGAGAGAGAGAGACTTGGAGCCAAGAAAAGGAATTGCTTTTCTATCTGTGTGTGGCAACTCATCTGAAAGCAACCACACCAGCAATTCCACCTGTGCAATTGCTGCTGGTGATCTAGGATGCATTTCCAGTATAGATATAGATGGCTAGAGATAGAGATATCTATCTACATCTGTGCTTTTTGTCTTCATTTTAAAATTTGTTTTAAAAACCCTTTCACTGCTGTGCTAAACATTCCCCCAGTTCTTTCACATTTGCAGAAGTCTTATGTTTACGTCATTATGGAAACAGGGATTCTCTCAGATGAAAGACTTGGAAGGCTCAGTATATTGGTGTCATTTCATATTCACATCAGTAAAGATTCTGACCTCTTAAAACAGGGTCCTGCTGGTCCTTTTGGTATCTGATGGTAATTTTGGATGCTGAGGCCTCCAGATCACAGGGCATTTATAGCAGTGCCCTTCACAGGGGGTCAGAATCTAGCAGCTGGCCAACAAGATATACAATACGGCTTCAGAGAATGACTTCATAGAATGATGGTTCTGGCCAAACTGACATTTATTGTGTACCCACAATGTATACATATTACTTCATTTACTCCTCACAAAATATTCCAAACTTGGCACTGACATTCCCAATTGATGGAGGAGGAAAAGGAGCCTCAGTGCGCTTACTTAGCCTAGGTATACAGAGCTGCTGAGTTCCAGAGCCAGGACTAGAACCCAGATCTGTGTCAAAACCCTTCCTCTTTCCTCTATCATCGTTCCTCTCACTCCCACATCCTAGGCTCACCACAGTCCACATTTCCAACCGTGCTAACTTCTCTATATTCTGTGTGCCTTCATGACCTTTCCTTTCCCAGAAGAAAAAAAATTTTTTTTAAAGATTTATTTATTCATGCATACAAGAGCTGGGGTGCAGGCCAGATGTGCAGGAGGATGAGAGGATTCACCAGAGACAGAGTGAGGAACAGAACAAGCAGACTGACCAAAACACACTGCTGAGGGGAACAGTGGGTGAGACAGGAGAGGTCTGCTGAGCCATGTGGGTATCTCCATGGCTGGCCTGGATCGAACCCGCACTGCAGAGGCTGTGGACAGCTTCACAGTGCTGCACTCCACTGCCTGTGCCACCAGGGAGGCCCCGGAAGAAAAAAATTTACCTTAAGAAAAACAATCAGGGCCTCCCTGGTGGCACAAGGGGTTAAGCACAGCACTGTGAAGCTCTCTGCAGCCTCTGCAGCACGAGTTCAATCCCAGACCGGGGAGGTGATCCACATGGCACAGCAGACCTCTCCTGTCTCCCCCGCTGCTTGGGAGTGTATTTCAGTCAATCTGCCTGTTCTGTTCCCCACTCTGTCTTTGGTGAATCCTCTCATCCCCCCCCAACACCTCTAGCTTGTACCCCAGTTCTTGTGTGCATAAAATAATAAATAAGTCTTTAAAAAAAAAAACATAATCATAGGGTCAGAATAACAGAGCCCTGACATTTTTCCATTCCTCAAATCTTGATTCAGCTCATAACACCCACTTCTCTTCTGAGCCTGCCCCGCCTTTCACAAACCGGCCCACTCTTTCCCCATGCTGCCCTGCAGGGAAGCACCATTAACACAGATTATCTGGACAAGTATAATAAAAATTCTCATAATACCCTTTCCAAATAAGTCCAGTGAGGACTTTTTCAGATGAAAAATCTTGCCTTTGCATCCCAGAGAAGTCACAAGCCTCAGATTAAACTGGAAGTCTTTGCACTAGAAGAGGTTTCATTTCATTTTGAAAACCAGGGTATAACCCCACCCTCACCTGGGCTGTACTCACTCGCAATGAGCCCCTTCTCCCAGCACACCCAGCAGACCACTCAGCGCAGGATTGCTTCCCAGACTGACACCCATGCCCCATCTTGAGGTCCCCCTAAACCACCCGATCCTGCCTCCTCTGTAGGTGGTGCCCTCATCACTCACCCATGAGAGCCATCTGGGGGTGGGTCCGAGCATGTCTCCCTCTAGAAATGGGTCTTCGCTCCCTGGCTTCAGTAGGGAGGAGGAGGATCTGTCCGAGGAAAAGCAGAAAGCAGCCCACCAGCATCTTTTCCATCTTCAAGGGGAGGATGAGGGACAAGGCTGTAACACACACCACAGGTGAAGGCAGGTGAGGCAGGGTGAGATGTCCATGCTCCCCAAACTCTAGGTGCTGAGCCCAGCCACCCCACCTTGCCTCCACCTAAACTTGCCACTTGTGCTTAAAATGCCATTTGTGTGCTTGACCCTTGTCCTGCAATCATGCCAGGTCCAGTAGGTTAACTGTCGGTTCAAGCAGCTTAAAAGAGAACCTTGGAGCCCTTGGCATCATCCCCATAGGTTTTCTAATAGTACGCATGGGAAACAAGCCATCAGGGAGACAGCAACTTGGGCACCCCTGCGAAATTCTATACGCTCTTTCCTGTCGCAGACATTCTCCAACGCTCTCACCATCCTCTGGGATGCTGCCCTTATAGGAGCAGCTTCTAAACTCAGGTGTGTCCACTTACACATGCCCACACAATACTCTCGGGGTCCACCATCAGCCATGCGTACCTTGAGCCCAGGCTCCCAAGCGTCTCCTGCAAAGCCGCAGGTGACAGCCACAGAGGCCAACAGCCCAAAAGCCTGAGCATCTTCATTTATCCTACACCATCAAGTACTTAAGTAAGCCCTGAGGGCGGGCTTTCCTTGGAAGCTCCTAGCAGGTGTAGGGTAAATGACGTTGGTCAGGCTCTTATGCAATTGGCCTCTGTGCTATCACCTGCAGCCTTGATCTTACTAAAGTAGAAGGCGCTTAGGTGTGGGGCACCCATGCCTGATTATGGATACCTGAGCATGGGTGTGTGCGCATGTGCAATTGTGCACACCTGTGCCTAGGAGGGAGGGGATAAAAGGGCAGTGTCCGTCTGGGGAGGGGACTCAAGTTGCTGTTTCCCTGCTGGCTTGTTTCCCCTACTTACCATTAAAACCTGTGAAAATGATGCCAAGGGCTCCAAAATTCTCTTTCAGATCACTAGAACTGATGGTGAACCTACCCAGCATGGATGGTTGCAAAACAGTAGAGCGTGCATAGTTGGAATTTTTCCCCACTTTGGTCACTACAAGACTGAATGGAAAACTTGAGGGGAAAAAAATCTCTTTTGAAGTTTCTTCTCAATTAAGTTTATTATTAATTATTCAGTCACATTCTACATCTTAGATTTGAAAAAGGAAAAACTACTTCTGAGAATTGCCAAATAACAGTATTCTCTCACCTTAATAATACTGGATGGCCTACATTAACATATATAAATTAGGGCATCCCTGGTGGCGTAAGGGGTTAAGTCACAGCACTATGAAGCTATCCGTAGCCACCGCAGCATGAGTTCGATCCCTGGCCAGGGAGATAACCCACATGGCGCAGCAGACCTCTCCTGTCTCACTCACTGCTCCCCTCAGCAGTGTATTTCAGTCAATCAGCCTGTTCTGTTCCCCACTCTGTCTCTGGTGAATCCTCTCACACACCCCCACCTCTGGTCTGTACCCCAGTTCTTGTATGCATAAATAAATAAATCTTTTTTTAAAAACATATATAAATGGACCAAGGAATTCACATATGGCTGAAGAATCATAGCCAACCTCACAGCCTCACAGCCTCCCTGTCTCCCACACACATATAAGAGGGAGCATGGTCCTGGGATTAAGGGCTTAGATTCTGCACAAGACTACAGGACTTTAAATCCTGGCTTTGACACCTGCTAACTCTGTTTGATTTTGGACAAACTACTTAACCTCTATGAGCCTGATGGAATAATGGGATAATTTTAGTTACTGGAATGAGTTAATACATGGAACTAAAGCATTAGGAATAGCGCCTGGCACACATGGGGAAGTGAAGACTGGCAAACACAAGCATGCTGGCAAAGGAACTAAGGAACCAAGACAGAATAAGATGGCACCAATGTTGAGAAAGAAGCTCTCAAATGTATCAAGAATTCTAACCCTGAGTTGAGATTCAGGTATCCACAGGGTAAGGAGAGTTTCAACCAAAGCAGCACTGTCTTTCCCCATTTTTTATATTGGTCCTGAGGAGTGGTCAGTGTGAAGACTCAGGAGGACTCTATGCAGGGAAATGACATATTCAGATCCACATTTTTCCAGTTTGGTCAATCTCATGCTTCATGAGCTGAGAGGTACTTGGCCACATGGTGAATAATGTCAAATTTTTTCCAGCAAAACTTCACAGAAAAGGCAATATTCTGGGGTTGGGTTTAAATTTATTCTTCCATTATCTATGAATATAATGGGCACCATAGTAATTTATTAACATATAAATTAGGTGGGGAGGAGAGAATATTTAAAGAGGAACAACATTTAAGTAATATCATTTGCATGTAAAATCTTCACTAAGTCCCTATCTTGCACTTGGTAATGTCACCCAACTGACTTAATCCTCACACCTACTTTGAAGAAATCAAAATGATTAGTTCTATTTCTTAGAGATGAGAAAATGGAAGCTCAGAGAAGTTCAGCAACTTTTGCAAGGTCAAAGAGCTAAAGTAGGTGGGAAAGTAAGAATTCAAACCCAGGATATACAGGCCAATTTGCCAATTGATTGATTAGCAGAAAACTCAGCTGAAAGTCAAATCTTTGCAAGTCAATTCACAAAAGGCCATAGTTGTTTTACTGTCAGAAGAAGGAACAGGGCAGGGACCATTTTCCAAAATGTGGGGAAAAAATCAGTAATTGAGTGAACTGTTTATTCGGGAATTACTTTCAGGAATTGACCTAGAGATACAACTCAGACCTGCTGATTTTCAAAGTCCACGGGTTTTCAGACTTTCACTATGCATTAAAATTATATTTAAAATAGCAAATATTTATTCAGAACTTACTATGTCCCAGGCACTGGGCCAAGAGCTTTTTTTTTTTTTTTAAATAATTTTCTTTTTTTTTTTTTATTTTATAGAGGCGTGTTTTATGTTATTTTATTTGTTTGTTTGTTTGTTTGTTTTGTTTATACATGCACTGAGTACAGTCAGAAGTGCGGGAGGGTGAGAGAATTCACCAGAGCCAGAGTGGGGAGCAGAGCAGGCAGACGGACCGAAGGACACTGCTGAGGGGAGCAGCGGGCAGCAGGAGAGGTCTGCGCGCCATGTGGGACGCTCCTCCAGTGGCCGGGGAGCAGCCGGGGATCGAACCGGCGCTGCAGAGGCTGTGGGCAGCTTCGCAACCCAGCGCTCAACCGCTGCACCACCGGGGAGGCCCTGGGCCAAGAGCTTTAACTGTATTAAATTATTTAATTCTTAGAGTAGCACAGAGAAGTTAAGTAACTTTCTAAGGTTATACTACTGATAAGGATGAAACTCCAGACATACTGGCTCAACACTGATAACTACTGTCTTCCCCCAGAACCCCTTTTGAGACAATTTGAGCACTATTGATTGGACTGTTCCTTTTCAGAGCTTTAATGGTGAGATTCTTTCTGAGAAAAGGAAAGAAACTTAGAAGATTTTGCCTTTCTCTGATCTTAAACCTACTATTTACTACTTCCTTCCTTGGTGTTTACCACATTTTATATGATGTTAAGTGTGTTACATCATTTGTATGTGATTTATTATTTTAATGTTGCTCTCCTTCCCCCAAACTGAGCAACTACGAAGTCCATGTTTATTTATTCCAAACTTAATATATTACATGCTTTCAAAGCCCACTGCTATCTTGACACATTTGCAATTAAATCCAAATTTTTGGAACATAATGTGGTGGATAAATGTTATTTTTAAAAATTAAATACCATTTTATGCGGTTTGGGGCTTATTGCAAATTTCAAGAAGTGTTTGTATTTTCAAATTAACATTATTAACCAAAAGGAACTGAGGTAGATGAAGGGTAGAAAGTTAAAAACATAAGCAGAACTAAACATTCAGATAAGCTGTCTGAATCTGAGAAGGTTACTATCCTCTTCCTATCTCAGTCTCCTACTCCTAAACTGGGGATAATTACACACCTAGGCACACAGAACAATAGCAAATACATACTAATTCAATAAGAATTATTGTGGCTATTTTTACTACTTGTAATCAAACCAATTAATATAATGTACTTGTTAATTTTGTCATGCTAAACCATTTAATGTACTTAATGTACATTAATGTACATTTAATGTAATTAAATAAACTTTTATGCTTACTAATGACTGTTACTATAATAAAACAATGACATATAAATCCAAAATTTTTAAATGTTAGTTTCTGAAAGTATTTAAAACTTTCATTTTTAAAAATGCAATGTCACAGAAAGTCACAGGCTGGCAGAAAATACTTGCAAAACATATATGAGATATTTTATTTATATTCAAACTACATAAACTCTTATAACTCCATAAGGGGATTTTCAATCCACTTGAAAATGTGCAAAAGATTTGAATAATCACATCACCCTTGAAGATGTTTGGATGACAAATAAACATGAAAAGATATTCATTATTTTTAGTTATTAGAAATGTGAATTAAAAGCACAATATGGTTCCATGACAAATCCACTGGAATAACTAAAATTTAAAACACTGATATAACCAAGTACTGACAAAGATGTAAAGAAACCAAAACACTCATATACCACTGATAAGAATGCAAAATGGTGCAGATATTTTGGGAAACAATCAGGTAGTTTCTCCTCAAGTTAAATATGCACTTGCCAAATGACACAGCACAAGATGACCAATTGTCCCAGTTTGCCCAGAACTACCCATGTTTTAAAACTGAAAGCCCTGCATCCCAAGAGACTCCTCAATCCTGGGAAACGGGAATGTTTTCACTTCCCTACCTACCACCTTGAGTATTTACCAAGAGATGAAAATATATCCACACAAAGATTTATACTCATATGCTCACAGAAGATTTAGTTCTCAAAGCCAAAAACTGGGAGCAACACAAATGTTTATAGATTGACAAAGAGAAAAATAAATTATAGTACTTATATCCATACATTGGAATATTACTCAGTAAGTAAAGGAATGAATCTTAAAATAAGCAGGCTGAGTGAAAGCAGTCAGACACAAAACAGATTACTCACTCACCAATTGTATCTACTTGACATTAAATAAGAGGCAACACTATATGACAGAAAGCAGATTGGTGGTTCCAGGTACTAGGAGTGGGAAAAGAGAGTCAGCTATAAGGAACACAAGGGAAACTTGGGGGGTTTACATCATAATGATGGTGGAAGATACATGGCTCTATGTATTTGTCAAAACACATCAAATTGTATACAGGTTGCCTCCCATTACCCAAAAGTAGAGTGTTCCTATGAAACCATTACCAAAATGGTATAAAGTGAAGGAGCAATTACCATTCATTTATTAGAAAAAATTTGAGCATTCACAGACCCAAAAATTAATAGTGTTTTGGTATTAACATCATACCAAAAAACACAAAATCTAAAATAACACTCAAATATAGTAAAAAGCAGGGCTAATAAAATTAATATAGTGCCCTTGGAAATCTGTTTCCCAGGAAGGAATTTGGTGGTGCAACTTTTGCTGCTAGGGGTATGGGTGGGTGTGCTCATCCTTGCTGACACTGCTACAAAACAAATACTTTATGCATTTTCACTTTCCACCTTTGTCATAAAAATGCAAAACCTCTTTAGATTTCTTTTAGTTAGTGAAACAGGTACTAACGTAGGTCTTTTATAAAAATGAGGTGGTTTAATTGCAAATTTTTCAAAAGTAGGAGATACCTTTAATTTAAAATGTTAAATTCTATGGTATGTAAGTAATTCTTCACAAAAGTTGTTTTAGAAAAACTGAAGGAATTGGAGAAAGGCTACTGCAGACATACCAATATAAAAACAGTATGACAATATTACTATCAGATAAGATAGGTTTCTTTTTATTGCAATGTAGTAAAAAAAAAAAAAAAAAAGAAAAAAGTAAGCTAGTGCCTGTAGCCCATATTAATGACTGTTTCTCAGTTCAGTATTTACAGCTGCTGGAATTTGAAGAGCAGAAGTCATTTCTAACTGGAAAAAGGAATGATGTCTGAGAAACTGTTCCCTTCATACATGGCATGTGAGAATAATGGTTGTGCTAGAAATATAGGTTATTTACTCTCAACAGATTTCCTGAAGCATTTGGGAGCATGGAAAAAATATTTTAAAAATACAACAGCTTTTAGTGGGAGTGTGAACTGGTCCAACCACTATGGAAAGCTGTCTGGAGGTTCCTTGGTCTACTAAAAATGGAGCTACCATATGACCCAGCAATTCCACTCCTAGGGATCTACCCAAAGGACACAAAACATTGATTCAAAAGAACACCTGTACCCCTATGTTTATTGCAGCACTATTTCCAATAGGAAAAACCTGGAAACAACCCAAATGCCCAAAAATAGATGACTGGATCAAGAAGATGTGGTGTATATATACACAGTGGAATACTATTCAGCAATCAAAAATGATAAACTCATGCCATTCACAGCAATGTGGATGGAACTAGAAGGAATTATGCTCAGTGAAATAAGCCAGAAGGAAAAGGAAAAATATTGCATGGTTTCGCTTATAGCAGGAAAATAGGGGAACTAAATAAGACATCATGTAAAAAAATAATAATAGTACAAAACACAACAAAGCAAAAACAGACAATTATAAACCAGAGAAATACTGCAGGGAAGGAGGAGGGAGAGGGATCAGAGAGAGGGAGGGAGAACAGGAGACTGAGGTGATGGTGCACTGGTGCACTGGGGAAGGAAATTCTATGGGGACTACACCTGAGGGGGTGGGGGGAAGCAAATATTATTTAAAAACAAACAATGATGTAAAAAAATAAAATATAATTAAAAAATACAACAGCTTTGACTTTTGTTGTAGCAATTATTCCTCTCTCCATGGGACAATGTGTCTTTTCATTTAGCTTCACCACTGGGATGGTGGGAGAGCAAGCAGCTCATATAAGCATTACTGTTCTGAGTACACTGACAGAAGAGTAGAGAGCCTCCCGGGGGCCAACTATGGGCCTGGAGTGGAAAAGCCTGCTTCTGTATGACCTCCTCTAGGTGACCACTCTCTAGGCTTTCCTTAGTCAGCTGTAAAATGAGAGGTATGGACTGAAAGTAGCGTCTCAGTAAGCCTCTGTGACTCAAAGAAGGTTAGGCATGACTTCTGCCAAGGTGGTAAATGTTGTCTACACTAATATCTTTTAAATGTCCACTAAGGTCTAGGCAATGAACTGGGCAATTTGCATATAATCATCTCACCTGATCCCTATGTTCATTAAAGTAGATGAGTTTCCCATTGATGGATGGGGCACTACAACTTACAGCTGGAAAGACTCTCTAATGCTCCATTTTAATGCTCCATTTTGGCCATTTTTCACCCACACTCCTACAGGAGCTTCAGAACTGTCCTCTTTGCCTTGGGTCCTTCAGCGACTGTCCTGACTCTCTGTTGAGAACCTATCAGTGCTGCCTCCACCCCAAAGAAGAACTGAAGAACTGAATCTGGTCAGAGTTGGATGCCTTCATCCAAGCTGTTCTCTTGGCCAAAAGGTCTACAGTCTCAATTAATCAAAACTGCATTCAGTCCTCAAGACTCAGCTCCTATGTGTCCCATTCTCTAAAATCTCTAATTTTCTCAACTAAGATTGACTTTTCTATACAACCCTGACTGTGGACATTTTTTTTCTTACTATCATATCTGTCCCCTTCCTACTGTGAAGCTTAATAAGGGACACACCTTGTCACCTCTGATCCCTTATACTCTGGGTGCTAAGTTTTGTTAATAAATTTTTAGAAAACAGAAGCATATTGAATAACACATTGATTATAACAAATCAATACGTGTTAAATTAATATGGCCTTAGACCTGCAGTCTCTCAACTGGCTCTTGACTGCCCCACTCCTGGAAGGCCCATTAAATGCACTAGGTGCAAATGCAGCCTGGCGCCTGATTTATGACAACTTGGGACTTGGTCAACTGAGTTTGTTCAGGGCGGGAGTGTGTTCCCTGAGGAACTGTCTCCCTGCTTGCCCGGAGACATTAATGAGAGAGGGCCCCATTTTTCTGTCTTTTTCCCCGGACTTTTTTCAGCTTTTCTAGTATCTACCACAAACCTCCCCAGCACCCCCCCCCCCCCACACACACACACACACATTTCTCCACGACATAGGGAAGCTGGGGTTTTAGCTGCCATAGGGCACCAAGAACTAAATCCAGACGACACGGGCACGACAACCCCAGCCCACCAAGGGCGAGGACGGGAGCCATGCAGCTTGCGAGCAGGAGGGACTCTCCCGACTCCGCGCAAGTCTCCTTCCCCGGCTCCGTGGAGACCAGGTCTGGAGTCCCTGCGGCGGGGCACAGCGCCCCCATGGGGTACCCGGCCGCAGCGAGCGCCCCTGCGCCCCGCGAGGGGAGCGCGCCCAGCTCGGCCGGCCGTGAGGTGGCTCGGCCCGGAGCTGGGGGGTCCCGGCGGCGCCGCCCTCCCTCTCCCGCAGTCCCCAGAGGGGTCGAGAGCGAGCGCGCCCCCCGGGGCGGGAGGGGCGCCTGGACCGCAGGGCCGCGGGGCCGGGGCGCGGGCCGGGGCGCAGGCCTGGCGGGGGAGCGCCCGCGAGCGTCGCCCAGCCCGGCCCGGCCATTCAGTCAGCGGTCATCGGTCGTTCCGCGGGTCGGTCGGTCGGCCGGTCGGTCGGTCGGTCTGCGCCCGGGGCAGCCGGGCCGTCAGAGCCCGGTGGGCAGCGCGCCCCGCTCACCTGCAGCTGCAGCCGCGCGCGCCAGAGAAGCGAGACGGAGGCGCAGCCCCCGGGTGCTCCTGGCCGGCTCCTCACTCGCGGCGGCCGAGCGGGAAGCCCACGCCGCTGCTGCTGGGTGCTGCTTCGCCGCCGCCTCCCAGTCCCATCCCAGAGCTCTCCCCGCGCGCGCCGGCTGCCGCCAGGCTCTGGGCCAGCGCCGGCGGGCGGCGGGAGGCGGCGCCGCGCGAGGGTGGGGAGCGGGCCGGGCGGAAGGAGGGGATCCTCTTTGGGGATGGGGAAGGCGCGGGGAGGGAGCGGCCGCCAGTGCGGCCCCACCCTTCGGGCAGCCCCGCGAGCCGGGCACCCTGGCGGGGCCCCGCGCCGGCCCCACCTCGCTGGGCTGGGTAGGTCTTGGAGTCAAGGGGGCAGGATCCGACCCCAGGTTCTGGAGCGGTAGACTGAGAAAACTCTGAGCTTTGGGGGCTTGGTGGGGACGTGGGGGTGGTGAGGAGAGCATCTCCTGGTGGAAAGAGTAGCACGGCAGGAATCCTAGATCCAAGAACTACAGGAGGCATGCATCTGTAACAATGCAGAAAAAAGTCATGGGAACAAGTGCCAGGGACTGTCGTGGCAGTACCCAGATCACCCACACCGGTGCCAATTCATATTAACAGTGTCCCCTGGCCAGGGACCAGGCCCCCGTGGGGAGAGGGATGGGGGAAGAAGTTTGCCAGGAGCGAAGGGAAACAAGGTTCCTACCCTGAAGGAGCAGAGAAAATCTAGTTCAGACAAGACTTTTGAAATTATGGGCAAAGATGTTTGCAACTTTGTGAAATGGGAAAGCATAAACCGAGCTGTCCTGCAGAAATCTGGAGAGAAGCCTTAGACAGGATTGGTCAGTGACAGGAAAGTGCCTAACATACTTTCTCCTAGGCCTAGCCTGCCAGGGTGACAGTGCTCTGGACACCACGCCAGGATACCTCGTAATAATGGATCCAAAATTCTATCCCCAAACCACTAACCCAAAGCACCCTGTTCAGGTTTTAACAAGCTCCAGGGAGAGGCCGCTGAACTAATGAATTTCAAACTCTGAATGTACCAGAGTCTGATCATTTAAGTGTTTTTGGCTGCCTTTACTCCTAACCATCACTCCTATTTGATGATAGAGTTGGTTTCTGGAATGTACAAAACCAATCTTTTAGAAAGGAGGATCGAATTTAATTAATGTAATTACCCAGGATTGGGTAATTAAAACTCCAGCCATAAAGCAAGGGGTTAACATACTCAAGACATCAAGCAACTCGGTTTTTGTTACCACAATGCCAATGCCAAGAAAGACTCTTGTTTTTTTTATTAATGTGCCTTTGTTCCTGTACCCTGCTCCTGAGGCCCACTGGGCACTCATGATTACCTGCACTGATGTCTTTGGTAGGAGGTAAGTGGAGGTCAGAAAGCAGAGGAAAGTCTTCAGGAAATGTTTGGCCTCTGAAGTCTTGGATCCCACAGAAGAAAATTCTTCCTGAGTGTGGGCCAGTCAGTGAAAAATCCCCTAGGAGTTGGGGAAGTTGAGTTACAGTTTATGGGTATTTATGTTTCAAGTGTGTTGCATTATTCCCAGACACCAGTGTTATACAGAAATTCACTGGGAAAACAATAGTAATTCCAAGATTCTTCTAAATTTCAAGGCACAGTAATTTAGTAACTGGTTCCAGTGACTCTGGAGTATACCAACTAAAATGGATGTTTTTCCTCAGGGAGTTACATCAGAATTCCTCAGAATGGGAAACCTCTGTAGGAAGCATGCCTGGGGCCAAGTCAAATAGGTATATGAATCCTTCTAGCCTTCTAACCTTGAGGGAATGGCTAATAGGTCTGCCAGAGAAAAGTGAAGCAAATCTGGGCCTCCCTGGTGGTGCAGGGCTTAAAGTCACAGAGACATGAGTTCGATCCTCAGCCAGAGGCTAACCCACATGGCACAGCAGACCTCTCCTGTCTCCCCACTGCTCCCTCAACAGTGTATTTCATAAGTCTGCCTTGTTCTGCTCCCCACTCTGTCTCTGGTGAATCCTCTCACCCTCTCACCCCCGCACCTCTGGCCTGTACCCCAAGTCTTGTATGCATAAATAAATAAATCTTTTTTTAAAAAAAAGTGAAGCAAAACTGAGCTCAATATCCTGAAAAGTCTTCAGAAAGAACAATGCCTAGATTGCATTTCGGGGTGAATGCTAGGTGCAGTGTCAGCTCACTTGTGTTGTATTTCTAGGTGACTGACATTGGATCCCCATGTAAACAGTTGGAGCCCTTCCTCATTTCACACAAGAAGAGTGGAAGGCCTCACCTGGAAGAGGAGACAGTTCCCCTTTTGGGAGCTGCCAGTTGACTGAAGTTAGCAATGTGAGGTTGAAAGAGGAACTTGCAAGGCAGTGACTGGGTTTCCACTCCAGCCCTAATGGGGGCACTGCTCCCTTCTGGATATGTCTTCCACATGGGTGACACATGTCCAGTGAGTCCCCTTGAAGACAGCTGGCTGAGGGCACCATTGTTCCAGGTGAAATAATTTCTAAAGAAAAATAGGCCTCCTTGGAAAGAGATTAAAGTGATCAGGGAAAAACCTAACAAGTCACAAATTTGTTCAGGAAAACAATATACATTTCAAAGCGGATGCTAATGTTTTATTTTTGATCCTTTTTTTTGTTTTTTATTGAGGTAACATTGGTCTGTAACATTGCGTTAGTTTCAGGTATACAATTTTGTATTTCAATATCTGTACATACTACATTATAATCACCACCCTAAGTCTAGTTTCCCTCTACCACTATGCAATTGACCCCCTTTGCGGGATTTAATCACCGTCATCCCTCCTCCCTATCTGGTAACTACCATTCTGTTGTCAGATTTAAGAGTTTTCGTTTTGTTGTATTTATTCATTTTCTTTTTTTTTTTTAAAGATTTTATTATTTATTTATACAAGAACCAGTGTACAGGCCAGATGTGCGGGAGCTTGAGAGGATTCACCAGAGACATAGCGGGGAACAGAACAGGTAGACTGACTGAAATACACTGCTGAGGGGAGCAGCGGACAGGAAAGTTCTGCTGTGCCATGTGGGTTGCTCCTCGGCTGGTGGGGATCAAACTGGCACTGCAGAGGCTGCGGACAGCTTCACAGCGCTTGCGCTCAACCGCCTGCACCACCAGGGAGGCCCCTGTATTTATTCATTTTCTTTGATTCTTTATTATCCACATTTTATATGGTATTTCTCTGTCCGACTTGTTTTACTTAGTGTAATCCCCTCAAGGTTCATCCACATTGTCAAAAATGGCAAGGTTTCATCCTTTTTAATAGGTGGGTAGTATTCCATTGTGCATACAGAACACTTCTGTACCCATTCACCCATCAGCGGGCTTCCGTAAGTTGGCTACTGTAAACAGTGCAGCAATGAAATAGGGCTACATATATTCCTTCCAATTGGTGTCTTGTGTTCTTTGGATAAATACACAGAAACAGAATAATTAAAGAAAGCATATGGTATTTTTATTATTGATTTTTTGAAAGAGGGACTCCAATGTTGAACTTGAACCATGAGATCCTGGGAACAGGGTCCTGGCTTTTCCTTATTTAGAGATCTCGCCCTATGCCATGCTGGGGATGGGCTTCGGTTCCTATGGTGTTAACCTGGAGTTTAGAGCCTTGTAGTTTTGTGGCATCAGGCTGATGAAGGGAGGCCTTAAAGGGTGAGTGAAAATCCAATTTGTTTTCTTGGATACTGACGAGGCTGGAACATTGCCTACTTCCTTGGACACTAGTTTCCACTTCTGAAGTGGAGGATCAACCTGCTATGGGTGAGAGCATCACTCAGCAACACAGACTGCTGCTTCTTTCATCCCTAAATCTAGGAATTGGCACAAACTGAGCTGCTGTTTGAAGCTAGCAGCCTCATTCCTGTGACACTCAACGACCTCCTCGAAATGCCATTAATGAGTCTATGCCTGCATCACTTGCCTGGTGTTAAATCAAATTGCAAGATACTTGGGCAGGAGTATGTGTAACTGTATGTAAAATTCTGGACCATGCTGGCAGAGCTCAAAATAGCAACTCAAAAATAACAAATATATCAAAGTCAGGACATTTTCACATTCTCTCTTGCTGGAGAAAATAACTGACCCATGGTTATTACCAAGGTCCAACAAAAAGAGGAAACACTAGAAAGAATATGGTGACTGACTGTTAAAGAGTGACAAACAAACCATAAGATGGAGAAAAATAAGATATGATAAAGTGAACAATTTCATTGGTAAAGCAATTTCTGAAAAAGAAGCAATGGAAATATCTTGACTCATTTAAACCAAGAATTGGCAAAGCAATTCCCAAGTATGGAAAGTGCCAGAACATTGTTGGCTAGAGGTACAATATCTGTGAACAAAAGGATATCGAGAACAGGATGCAATAACTAAAGTTTTAAAGGGTTGAAAGTTTCTTTTAGTTTGAACAGAATTTCTTTTATGCTTCAATGGACGTTCCAAGAAAAGCAAATCCACAGAATGGGAGAAATTTTTGGAAATCATTGACTCTTACAAAGAATTGCATCTAGATTATACAAAGGATTGTTACAATTCATTATTAAAAAGACAACCCAATTAATAAATGAGTGAAGTTTCTGAATAGACATTTCTCTAAAGAAAATATATAATTCATCAATAAGTGAGTGAAAATATTTTCAACCTCTTGTCATCAGAGAATGCAAATCAAACCCATAAGATATCACCTCACATTCACAAGGATGATTACAATAAAAAAGACAGGCAATGACAAGTACTGGCAAGAATGTGGGGAAATGAACCTTTGTACACTGCTGAGGGGGCATATAAAGTGGTGTAGCCACTATGAAAACAGTTTGACAGGTTCTCAAAAATGAAACATATAGTTATCATGTTCAGCAAGCCTACATCTAGGTATATACCCAAGTAAAATAAAAACATGCCCACAAAAAAAATTGTATAAAAATGTTCATAGCAGCATTATTCATAATAACCAGAAAGCAGAACCCACATGTTCTTCAGCTGATGAGTGGATACGTAAAATGGAATATTACTTGACAATAAAAAGGAACAAAATCTGATACATATTA